CTAAGTAAAACAATAAGACATTTTAATATTGAAACAAGCCTTAACCCAAACATATGTGTACACTGCATTAACACTGAAATCTAAATCTTACCCAAACATGTATATACTGCATTAACACTGAAATCTAAATCTTACCCAAAAATATATACACTGCATTAACACTGAAATCTAATTCTTACCCAAAGACACACACACACACACACACACACACACACACATATATATATACACTGTTACGAAAAAAAATAATTAAATTAAGCATACACTATACAAAATGACTATATACAATAATTTTGACAAAACTTACAATTTAGTTGGAAAACAATAAGGCAGTTCGCCTAACGAAGCTCAACCACAAGTCCTCCAATGCAGCCATGCACTGCCGATGTACAACAGTGGCAAATTACCTCTTTTGCTCTCACAAGAGCCTTTCAAGTTTGCGTCAATTCTTTTAGGAGTTGATGCATCCCTTCTCCTAACTGTGTTGATTTTAGCAGATGGTAAAGTAGCGAGGTCTCCATCCACTTGGCTGTCTGATCTTAGAAATGGTGCTTTAAAACCATTATCTGTGACCCGCTTTTTTATCTTGGTCGGAGGCTTTAAAGTAATTGATAGTCTCTCCAATAAATCCTTTTGGACCAAGGTAGGCCACAAAAGTAATTGTGGACGCCCTAGTACTCTGGTACTGCTGATCCTGCCCTTGCCAATGTTGCCACAGTGGTGGGTTCTATCCTAAGCTATATCCACTGATGTGCTGGTAGTAAAATTAGTATAGGTGGCCGAAGGAGAAGTTGTGTTGAAGTACTCTTCTTGCTTGACTGGTCTAAGCTCATACTCAGATACATGATCTCACTACAGGGTGTTTCATCAGTTTCTCTGACACTCTGTTTTTTTTTTTTTCACTTTTCGACTCTTTTGTCTACTGTCTGCTTCTTCACATCAGCAGGAGTAAGTTATGTGGAGGTTGTAGGCAGCTGGCACTCTTGATGTCGTGGGTTTGTCTGAAATTCGAATTTTATAAACATGAAAATATGGATAGTAAATAAGGTAAGCATATAAGACTGGAGATATTGCTAACAATATGGAGTCAAAATAGAGATTTGTAGTTTGATCGAATAATGTCTACAGTATATCCAGCCTCATATGCTTATCTTAAGGTAGCTAAATGCATCGTCATCTAATTAGTGACGCGCATGAATGGATTACAAGATTCCCACTGTCCCTATCTATTATCTTGCGAAATCACAGCCCATGGAACGGGCTTGGAGAAATCAGCTGGGAATGAAGACCCTGTTGAGCTTGATTTTACTTACCTTACGTCTCAAACCTTAAGCTTGTTTCTGTATGTTTTTACGATGCCTATTCCCGTTTTTAAATTAAGAATTTTTAATCATCCTGTTTCTTTATTTTTTTATGTCCATCATGTACATAAATCTGAAAGTGTTTAGTTTAATGGAATACGTAGTTGGTGTATGATGCTCTACCTGGAAACAATGACAACCTTTGGATTGGTTTCATGCATATTAGATGGCTTTGCTCCTGATATCATTGCCACAATGTTATCATTGATAGTGATACTGCATGCATGATTACTATGATGCACGGCGATCAACATACCACATGTTATGTATATGTTTGTCAAATATATATAGTTACTATATCTATACCCTGTAGCTATATGGGGAGTCTGTAATCACTGGATTGGAAGAACTACTGAACTATACTGGAATGGTGGATGGAGTGGATTTTATAACTACATGAGTTATATACATGCATGTTGGCTAGTATTTATATATATATGTAGGCTTTATAGTTTAAGTTGTAAAGCTGTATATGTAGATCGCCATATGCATTTTTCATGTTGTATAGATGCATGCATATATATTCAATGTAAATATAAGACAATGTATCATAATAAAATAGGATATGTATACAAATAAGCATTTTAAATATTTCTCTCTTCCACCTCTCCGCTGGCCATGGTTTTGGTGGAGCTCGCCATTCTGCACTCTCTACAAGGTCGAAAACGTGTTAGTTAACATTTCTGATGGAGTTTGGGTCGTGACACTTTCACGACCCTCTTCCACTGAGATGACCCGAAACTCTGGTGGGCCGTCGCTGCTACATACTTTAGCTGAAACAAATTATTTTCTAGATAAAATACATATAGCTACAAAATTTCTGCCTCAATTTCGTCTAGAATCGCCATCTCCAGGTTGCACGATTTTTGCCACTCCTTATAGTCAGCTTCAACGATGGCTACTCTGTCTGTGGTATCTAAAAGATTCCCAATCAGGCAGCGTGGGCTACAATTCGACACATAGTATCGGTAATCACAGTGATTACCGATCCGATGCTATCTTTTAAACCACGATTTAAATATATCTGTTGAGGGAGACTAGCTGATATGGTTCATGATGATCTACTGTAGCTATTGACTATTTGATCGCATTAGTTCGAGATGTAAAATTTTAAGCTACAGCTGGAGATTGTTATGGAGATTTGTTTGAGAATATAGAGTATTTATAGTCTTTTTGTAACTAAATCGTTTATATATATATATATTGCATAGCAATGGGCAAATATATGCCTAGACTGAGACACAACCCCCATTAATCGCGAAAAAAATTCACCATTAGAAAAGCAGCCTTTTCAAATAAAACATATACGTGTAAAACATCGCTTTAAATAAACTTTCGTGTCTTTTAAAGTAATTATTCTATGTGATCAAATTTCATATTATGTATATTGTTTGTTTTACTCTTCACTTCATACTTAATATAGGGGTTGTCTCCATAAAAAACTAATTGTATAGTGTACAAAGCATTGAGTATCTACATGTTACAGTCATCTAATGTTCATCTATTACTGGCTGGTAATTCTTGTTTCACCTTGTATTTCAGCTTCTTAAAGGAACACCAGGTGTTTGTAAGAAAACTAACTTCAAGGGATGATGATAACATCATTTACACTATAATTATGATTTTTTTTTAGCTTGAGAAAAATACAGATATAACTTTAAAAGTATCCTACATTTAGTAATACTGCTCAGGTTTTGTTGTAATACTCACGCCCTTTTTTGCTGTACGCTGGCGTAACAATATTAATAACAAATTGGCCATCCAAATTATGAACAGTGGTTCATGATTACTTCTTTCTTTTTGTTCAGGCAGAAGAACAAACATTTTCTAGAGAATTTTATTTTAGTTTCTCGATCATGATTCAGCATTAGATGTTCAAATGTCTCCCAATATGCCAGTTTAAGGACTTACAACTCTAAAACCTGCAGTTTGTTTCCCGCGCTGGACAGAGCACGGATACCCCTTTTGTGTAATTTTGTGCTAACAACAACAAACAAAATAAAAAAGTTATTGAAAAAAAAAATATATTTCAGCGAAATAAGCCAATGGGAAATTTTGTTGGTAAATCTGAAAGTAAGTCAATTGTTTTTATGAATTATATGAGCACAAGATAAATGTCTTTGCGAGTGACTTAAAAGTAAGTTGCATATTTTGACGAGTATTAATTACGATAAAAGAAAATTCAGCGTTTTTTGCAGTCTTGGCTGAAGCTGATAAATTTCTTGCTCTTAACAACAGTTGGAAATTAAAAAGCTTTCCAAATCTCCAAAATAGTGACTAATAGGTAAAATATAGTTATCCTTTTTTAAACTTTGCAATTCACTAAGTAACGTTATAATGAATCAAGTAAATTAATGTTATACTTCACAGCCCTATTTTGAAAATTATTAGAGAAATATATAAGACAGTGGCGTAGTAAAAATGCATCAAAACTAGAAAAATTACTGCCAGGAAAAGCAGGAGAACACATAAATTTAATCCAGAACCCCCACTTTTAATTTGCTTCCTACACCTCTGTAAGAAGTGCTGTATCTATACAGTGTGAAGTAGCAGCAGAAATAACTTTGTGACTGCAAACTTTGATAATAATTTAAGTTTGGCGTTCAGAAAAGTTTAAGGATTAATGCATGATATTTCAAAATCTTTATTAAAAATTCAATGTTCATCATAGTTTCATTGAAACATTATAGAGGCCACTAGTTACAATAAATGTACAGTGTCGACTATCTTAATATCTCAAGACAGAACACAGATACATATTATATAAAAGACTTAAAGGATTGTTAACATTGCTACCATATATAGTAGTTATAATTAAAGCGAAAGCTAATATTAACGCATGTTAAACCGTTAAATCTGAATAATATTTGTCTATATTATTCTTTGAATTGTTTAAAACTTATACCCAATGAGAAAGTATTAATATACATTTACAGACTTATATCCTCAAATTAATAAATATATTTTACAGACTATACATAATGAAAGTATTTAATGTGTTTTACTGACTGTCTATATTGAAAATTGTTACATATACTTTGTTGACTGTATATATTGAAAGTAGTTAATATATTTTACTAACTGCATATACGATAAGTGACAATGATTAATATTGTTCAAACTACATTTTGAAAATGCAGTATATTTTATACAATATCATATAAGGTAAAAATAATATTAGAATTAGAACAAAAATATCAATTTAATCAATATATAATTTACGATTAACACTAAATGTTTACGTTATTATACACAGACACATGTACATAAACTGATACCAATACAGCTACACACCAAAGTATGTGATGTGACGTAACTCGCGATACTTGTACAAGAACTGTGCAAGCCATATTTTACAATACAAATAATAACAGTTCGAAGCTTCAATTTGCAGCATTGTATAAACATGTATTAGATGGGGAGGAAAATGTCTGATGAGACAGTGAATAAAAGGTAGAACCTGAAAATTGCTAAAGATGTAAAGAAAGTGGTTTTTTCTAACATACATATTTTATATCCTTAGTATGTAAATGAAGTATAGATATAGGTCTGGAAATAGAAATAAATTAGTTCTCATGAATTCTCTAATTTCTTGACAAATATTTTATACATTTAAAAATTTTAATACTTACATTAGAAAAAAAGTAGAAAACATTACTCTGATACTCTTAAATATATTTCAAACAACAAAAAGAGGTGTTCGAGTTAAAATAACTACTTGTTTAGGCAGAAAGGGTTGTGCTGCCATCTGATGGGAGAGAATGACAGATCATGTAACATGTTGAATACTTTTCACTTTCACACACGTTAAAAACGTACAATGTTGTCATGTGACTATCCACGCAAAGTTAAAGGATGAAGGCGGGAGTCTCGGTACAGTATCTCGTGCCGATCACGTTCTTGTAGACATTAAGTGAAAACTGGAAGGGCTTCGAGGTGTTAAGCCTTCAGCGAGTCCTTCAAATGGACAGTTCATTACCAACTGATAAAGAAAATGATGGATTTCTCCCAGATACTTGCGACAAATCTACCGAGGTTACTTACGGCCAAAAGGAACCAGCCTCTCCTTCGGGGGTTCGGAATCCCAAGTGTGCCAGATGCCGCAACCACGGCAGAAATGTAGCCGTGAAGGGACATAAAAGATTCTGTCCTCATCGAACATGTATTTGTGCAAAATGCAAGCTGATAGCCGAAAGGCAAAGAGTTATGGCAATGCAGGTTGCCTTAAGAAGGGCCCAAGCTCAGGATGAAGCTATGGGCCGTACAAGTGTCACAGATTCCACAGAACCTGCCTCATTGTTCACTAATTCATCACCGCCAGTCAATGGTGGCTCATCATCTAACCCATCCTGCTCCGGTTTTTCTTCTGCATTCACAACCACGAATGGTGAGTCATGAAGTTTTCTGTCATGAAAATTAAGGGAGATTTCAATGCTTATTTTTAATCTTAATTTTCGCCAACGTAACACTATTTCACTGTCTTGATGTTTACAACTTGTTTAAACTTGCATTTTCTACTGATATTTAACCACTAGCATTCTTCGAGATGTTGACTTAGACTTATGTTTGCGAAATATGTAACTTATCTTATTATTATTTTTTTTTTCAAATGATTTGAGAATTAGTGATTCTCACGTATAATTAATAACTAAATTTACCTTGGTTGTTCTATCGAGCAACCGTGAACAGAATACATATTAGGCCTACGTTTTATATGATACTTAGTTATAAGTAGATCTTAATTTTCTAAACTTGTATGCTTAAATTACTTACAAGTAACGGAGTTAATACTTGGCCTTGACAGCAAATAAACGTGCTAACATGAATAAATTATCAAAGTTTACCAATATTAGTACATGTATTGATTAAGCCTAGGCGATTCTAGGTAGGAATGATTTTACTGGATGAATTTTACGAAAACATAGATAACCCCCTCCCGTAAGAGATTATAAAAGACAGAAATAAATAAAACAAAATGTATAATTTATACGAAAATATACTATTGTTCGTATTTACCGAAAACGGTTTAATATTAATTTAGGATAGGGTACCCTTTTTTCAGATGTTAATAGTTCTATAATATACTACACTACTTACAAGGGTGAGAGATAAAAAGTAAAAATACCTGGCTATAATGGCATTCAGTGTTTCTCGTAGATTAAGGAGACTATTTTGCGTGACTAAGTAATTTACTGTGTAAACATGTTTCTGGTTATGTAGTCGGTGCTCTATAAAGGAGTAATTATCTTTCTGAAATCAGTTCCAAAGCGAGATGGCCGGAACGTTAGATTTCAAAGTTGTGTATGGCTGTATCAGAAACTTAAAAAATCATCAAATTTTCACGGAGAACAGTCTCTCAGGTGATCACTGAATGTCTGTAAGACTTCAGATAACAGCTGCCGGGAGAGTAATCGGGGTCGCCGTTAAGTATATGAAGAAAAATGGCCGTGGTCAAGCTGCAGACTGTGTTGACCACACGTCACCTCATTCAGTGATAATAATGGACATAGGGCCAGTGAGATCAGATTGGGTGTTTATGCTTGTTTCCTATTGTTGCAATTGGTTCCATCAGTCTGGGCAGCACGTTGTTGGCCCATGTTATTTCTGAAGAGCTAGCTATACCTACTCAAGGATTATTGCAGATCAGCTTTTATCCGTGACATACTTATGTCGATGTGATTAGATAGTTTCAGGACGACACCTATTGAGGTCTGCCTAATCTCCAGACCTCGTGTGGAAGTTCATTCTTCAAATCAGACGTCGCAGCTGATTTTTATTTCTGTGACCTTTCTAGAACAACCAGTATCACGTATACCAACTCAAAATTTTCTCGAGACACACGCAGTTTTAACTGTTTGTTTATATTAAGTTCTATTTGTTACGTGTTTCTGATTGTAAGACAAACCTATGTGCTACATTTTGTGGCTAAGATGCATCAAAACACAGTATCACTGGGATCAGTGTTACAAATAATACAGTACATCAAGGAGTAGAGAATATATGGTATTGTAGAGTACACTTTGTGTTTAGTTCAGATGTTGACTCATAACGTGGACAATATATGTATAAATATTATAAGTCACCCCTTATCAACGCGTTCTCTTATTTTGTGCGAGACAGATGTTGAAACTAACTTATCTTTAAATCTGATGACGGCGAACTGTAAAGTTGTCGACACGGTTAGAGAAGACTGATGAACAGATACACGTATTTCTGTGTCTCGTAAACACCCGGGACACACACTGTTAACATCTGACAAATGTCCTTAGATATATTTTTGGAAAATATAAGTCATAGATAGTATGTTCAGATCAACGTTTAATATACTTATTTGTTGTTCTTTCTCAGAGTTAGAAATGTCAAGCTTATCAAAGAAAAAATATAAGGCTTTAAAAATATTATTATTTTTGTAATTTGTTTTATTGTATTTTGAAAAATCTTTATTTTACTGCTGTTTTGTCATGCTAGACGAAAATAAATAATATTACAAAGATTGCAATTTTAAACACGGGGAAATTTATTAAGGTTGCTGTTAAAATTTAAAGAAACATAAGTGTAATTAAGCAATAAGAATTAATTTAATACATGAAGTAAAGTTTAAACAAAGCACTGATAAGATGAATCACGATACAACTTTTCTAGCCGCATCAGAAGTTGAGTTATAATTTCAAAAATCTCCATTTACTAATTGCGAAAATTCTAACCGTAATCAGATACTGACCTTCAAATGTAAATGTTTCGATCACACGTTACTGACGCTACGCATTCTGTATCATATTCATAGTGACTTTGCAGCCGATGTCTCGATGATGTTTGTAAAGGCCGATGCTCTTTAATAAGGAATACTAAAAATTGTTGATACGCGTTTTCTGTACTGATTTTACGAACATATCACTTTCATTACTTTGGACTGCAACTTACCATTAAAATCTTGCATCCGATGATATAATCGTTCCTTTTCAACAAACTGAAGATAGATTACAGTTATAAATCTTCCACAACTAAAATCACCAGCACCTGCAAAAAGTTAGTAATTTAAAAAATACAATTAGGCATGAATTAAAATAGTCAAAAATACGTTTCGCACAAAAACAACAGATTCAAATGGAAAAAAAAATGATTATAAAATTCAACAGTAAAACAGAAATACACAAACGATGCAGCCGAACTCCTAAACATTGTATCAATCTTTGCCAACTGAGTAACACACCAAGCCTGGCAAGTTTGTGACAGTGTCACGTGGTTTGTGCACTGATGCTGTTGGTTCGTCTATCTTAGAGCGTGATAGCATAAGAATAGGAGTTGACTGTTCTTCTGCTTTAAATACTGTTTTTAAGCACTGATGTTGAACAAAATATTCTTCTAATTACTGGTCATACGTACGCTCTAACTGAGCATAATCTTAACTAATACATAAATATTATAAATATATTTCTTTCTTTCTTAACCTTTACGGAATATATAAATATAAACATGTTTCTTGGCTTTTACTGAATACACAAATATTATAAATATGTTTCTTTCTTTCTTAACCTTTACGAAATATATAAATATAAACATGTTTCTTGGCTTTTACTGAATACACAAATATTATAAATATATTTCTTTCTTTCTTGACCTTTACGGAATATATTAATATACATTACAGTGTACATCACCTGATAGCTGTGAGAGCAAAGTATACTAGTTCATTTCAAACGTCAAACTTCAACTAATGATCGTCTTAGTTTTGATGAGTAGCAACCATACAATGTCATGCATATACGGTGTATACGTTATTACTTGCAGCTCGGAAAGCAAGGGGGGGTCATTACACCCTCTTGGTCAGTAGTCTTTCAATTACCTGGCAGTCCTACCTTTGACGATAAAGTAGTATTAGCGAAATGTAATCCCTACATTTTGCTGGACCTTACTACCTGATAACTCAGATAGCTGCTTCCTTTCAGCCAATGGTTGCATGAACTAATGACTGTCTTAGATCAAACCCATCCTTATTGATTAGGAGGCTGTCATTGGCGTTTCTTCCACTGGACGGAGTTGGTAATCTCTTCTAGTTCTAGTGAGGCCTCACCTAGTTCATCGGAGACTGCCCAGCTAGTTTCCGCAGCTTCCTCCCCCGGGTCGAGTTGACTGGAGAGAGAGTGTCCTAATCATCCTCTGACTCATCAGTTTCCTCTTCAGACTCCTGGTCGAATGAGTGCACCAAAGGCTGGTGTGTGATGTATGATGTAGCTTATTGACGTGTTCGACATGCTTTTATGCATCTTGTATCTACTGAAACTTATACGTTAGAGAACCATCTTGTTGAAGTATCAAGTACGGACCAATAGAGCCAGCTTCAAGCTATACTTTCATGTATCTAGCATCCACTGTAGCTTATACGTTAGAGAACCACATTGTTGGAGTATCAGGTACATACCAGTACAGCCGGCTAGAAGTTGCTTTCATGCAACCTTGCATGTACCATAACTAATCACTGCATTTGAACATCCATTCTTTCACATTCTGATCAGAACATTTCTTTTGTTGTCATGCTGCATTCCCATTTTGTTGTTGGCACGAATTCACGTGCATCAACCAGTGTTGAACTCCACTTACTCTTGGTGACACTGAAGGACTTCTCGTGGTGGAGTATCTTATATTATGTATACAGGGAGTAAGACTTCCCGTTTGAATATGAGCAGGTGTGGCAAACAGCCTATTGATCCCCGTTCCATTGCATTATATGCTATCATTATATATGCCAAGTGTTAATCCTAATAAGTTCTGATGAATTAAAATTTTTTACAAGCCTTTGCTTGGTAGTTTGTATTACCCATTCTGCCAAACCATCAGCTTCTTCCTCTTTGATGGCTCCTGAATGTTGTTGCAATGCTCATTGCGAAGTCCCTCACTGCACTTATCAATCAGGATATCATTTATGTGCAATCAGCGCAGATCGTCCACATAGGCAGTCAGTCCCTCAGTGCCAATCCTCTTTGAAGCCTTGAACTCAGATTGGTGGATCACCTAATTCTCCACGGGGTCGAATTGGTAACACAACTCATACATGAAAGTCTTCTAGTCGTCTTGCTGCTCTTCATCCAAGTGTTCAACAGCGTCTAGGGATAGACCATCTAAGCTCAGGACCAGTTGTTGCACAGCCTGCTCCTGCTGAGCCCATCCATTCCAAGCAATGACCTACTTGAAATGTTTTTGGGAACCAATCAAGGTCTGCCTGGCCTTATTTGCGTGTTCCTGTGCATCAGGCCAAAGTCTTTCTCTCTCATAATCCTGGTGGATATCAGGAGAAGGTACTGCCAATGCCTTTGGCTCAGGATGGAAGCCACTTATAAAGACTGATATCCCAATTGATGTCCAGTTCTTGGTCCAGGGTCACAGGGCGAT